TTTGAAGCAATCATTGAAGGGGGAACATCAGCGACACACCCCGTAGTGAAGTGCCACATACACACTCATCAACGACAGCACAAGGTAAGATTTGAAGCATCCTATGAGGAGGAAACATCACCGAAGTATCCCGAAGTGAAGCGCCACACACACACTCATCAAGGACATCATAAAGGTAAGATTTGAAGCATCCTATGAGGAGGAAACATCACCGAAGTATCCCGAAGTGAAGCGCCACACACACACTCATCAAGGACAACATAAAGACAAGATTTGAAGCATCTTATGAAGAGGTAACATCACCGAAGCATCCCGAAGTGAATCGCCACACACACACTCATCAAGGACAACATAAAGACAAGATTTGAAGCATCTTATGAAGAGGAACATCACCGAAGTATCCCAAAGTAAAGCGCCACACACACACTCATCAAGGAAAGCATAAAGACAAGATCTGAAGCATCTTATAAAGAGGAAACATCACCGAAGTATTCCGAAGTGAAGCACCACACACACACTCATCAACGACAGCATAAAGACAAGATTTGAAGCAATCTACGAGGAGGAACCATCACCGAAGTATCCCGAAGTGAAGCGCCACACACACACTTATCAAGGACAGCATAAAGACAAGATTTGAAGCAATCTATGAAGAGGAAACATCACCGAAGTATCCCGAAGTGAAGCGCCACACACACACTCATCAAGGACANTCTATGAAGAGGAAACATCACCGAAGTATCCCGAAGTGAAGCGCCACACACACACTCATCAAGGACAGCATAAAGACAAGATTTGAAGCAATCTAAGAGGAGGAAACATCACGGAAGTATCCCGAAGTGAAGCGCCACACACACACTCATCAAGGACAACATAAAGACAAGATTTGAAGCATCTTATGAAGAGGAAACTTCACCGAAGTATCCCAAAGTGAAGCGCAACACACACACTCATCAAGGACAGCATAAAGACAATATTTGAAGCAATCCACGAGGAGGAAACATCACCGAAGTATCCCAAAGTGAAGCGCCACACACACACTCATCAAGGATAGCATAAAGACAAGATCTGAAGCAATCTACGAGGAGGAAACATCACCGAAGTATCCCGAAGTGAAGCGCCACTTACCCAAGCTCCCAAATCAGTGAAAACTCAAAGTTTGAAGCACCAACACAAAGGGAAACATCACGGAACTTTCACAAGGTGAATCGCAACTTACCAAGGCTCCCAAATTAATGAAGACTCAAAGCTTGGAGCATCAACACAAAGGAAAACATCACGGAACTTTCACAAGGTGAATCGCAACTCATCCGGACTGCATCCAGGCTCCCAAATTAGTGAAACTCAAAGTTTGAAGCATCAACACAAAGGGAAACATCACGGAACTTTCACTAGGTGAATCGCAACTAATCCAAGCTCCCAAATCAGTGAAAATTCAAAGTTTGAAGCATCATCACAAAGGGAAACATCACAAAACTTTCACTAGGTGAATCACAACTCATCCAGGCTCCCAAATCAATGCAAATTCAAAGTTTGAAGAGGGAGACATCACGAAACTTTCACTAGGTGAATCGCAACTCATTTTCCCCCCTTAGATCAGCAAAAATCGCAGTTTTGACAAGAGGAGAAGGGGGAGAAGGGGGGGGAGAAAAGAAAAAGAAGAAGGAGAGGAAGAAGAAGAAGAAGAAGAGGAAGAAGAAGAAGAAGAAGAAGAAGAAGGAGGGGGCCTCCCTCCTTTTTCACTCACCTCTTTGCTGGTCTCTAGGCTGTGGGGGTCCAATGCTTGGTTCTAGCCTCCTGGGTATGGCTTGTCCTCTCTCCCAAGTTCTCTCCTCCTTCCCTCACACCTCTCCTTTAGCTGTGGAGTCCTTCCCTCTAGAAGGGCTATGGGGACCCCTTTCAGCCTCTCCTCCTACTTCACAGCCTGAGGGCTATGGCGGACCACTCTCCTTGCTCCCTCCTAGCCTCTAGGTCACCTTCCTCAGCCCTACCACCATAGCCAGGCTACAGGCTAGCTCCGGCCCTTTCTCCCTTGCTTCTCTCTCACTCGGACTCTTTCCTGGACTCGTTTGGGCAGCATGGGCACCTCTCATGCTCAAGTGAGAGTGGCGGCCTACACCTCCAGCTTATGTAGGCTGAAACAGGTGCACCGCCCAACCTCTAGGCCCCTCCAAGTGCCTCTAGGTGGAGCGAGGTACCCCAAAGGCCAAATTTCCGGTTTTGGCCTATCCAGGGACACCTGGGCCTCATTTTGGCCAGGTATATGTAGTCCGAGAGGCTGGTACCCTCTCGGACCACCCCTTGGTCGCTACCCCAAAATGCAGTCTTTACCAAAATTTGCGGGCCTAGAGGCCCGTTTTCCACCTTTTTCTTGGTCTAGGCCTCCTTTGGGTAGGCTGTTGCATTTTCCCAAGTGGCGGCACAGATCTCAGCCTTGGATCTAGCTGAGATCTATGGTTCTCATCATTCCGAGTCACTCCAAGTTCCCCCTTGCTCCAAATTTGAGCTTTTGCTCCAATTTTCAATTTTTTTGATGTACCTAGCCCACACCTTGGGCCGAACTCGCAGTTTTGTCTTGTTCCTCTCTTTGCTTTCCCTCCAATTTGCTGCCAACTCATTCCGGAGACAGCCGTTTTGTGTCAGCCCACAAAAAACGGCTAGATCTCCTCTTCCGCAAGATCAGATCTCAGATCTAAGGCCCAAAAATGAGCCGGCCAACTCACATCAACATTTTTCTTTATTTTTGTTGCTTAAATTCAGATATTGCAGAGATAATGCCCCAAGGACCTTATCTCTGCAATCCGGACTGCCCTCCTAGGATCTAGGAGGGATGAGGTCATCATTGAGACCTGCCAGTCCCTACCACTGCAGTCCCAACCTGGCGGCACTTTTTCCTCCATTCCTTCCTCCTCCTTCGTCTCATTCTCCCCCCTTTTCCTCCTTTCTTTTCTTGTTTACTGTTGGGACAAGTGTCCAACAGCTATTTCTCCTCTTTCTAGCTGTTGGACCTTTCCCAAGGTCCGATTTTGCAGCCGGCATATGGCCGTTGCACCTCGGACTGCAGTAGTGGCAACCCCAAGGCCAAAGTGGGCTCCTTTTTGCTGCCGCCGCTTCCAGTTTGAGACCCTTTTGCTCCGATTTTCTCTAGCCAGCCCTTTTTTCCACGTGGAGCCCTCGAAACTTCGTTTTTCTTGGCCTGGCTGGTCCGGGATACTCGGACTGCTGGCCGGCCCCCCCCTTACTGCTGCTACTCCATCTTTTCTTTCCCCTCGGCACCTCCCGTCGGCGCTTGTCGTGGCGGCACTTAACGTTTTCATCCGGACTCCCCGGCCCGGCTGGTCCCGTCCACCTGTTGTCATGCTACTTTATTTCTGTTGTCATCGCATTTGATCCAGGACCCCCTTGGGTTGCCCCAGGTTCCCATCCGTTTTTCCCGCCTCGCGCCCGTCTTCTCCGTTTTGTCGACAATCCCTGTCGGCGGCTCCTAACACTTTTTATTCCGCCGATACCCAATCTGCTAGTGGTTCCACTGGTACCGCCATTTTATCTAGGCCCACACGGTCCCTGACACTTCGGCGTGCCTGCATTACGTATTTCCCTTGGTCTCACGCGGTTCGCGGTACTTCGCTCTGCCGGCACCACGCCGTCCCTTGGTCCCGAGTGGTTCCCGACGCTTTGTCCTGCTGGTACTGCCCCGTCGTTCGATCCTATGTGGTCCCCGAGACTCCTGCCCCGCCTGTACCACGTCTTTCCTTGGTGCCCCTGACGTCTTTTTGCCTTACAGCGACCTCCGCTCCCCGCTCCTATTGCATCCCGGATGCTATCCCGTTCCGGGTGCCGGTTCCCACCTACCCTGCGGTCTCCCTGGCCCTCCTGCCGCCGTGTTGCACCAGCGCCTTGCGCCCTGTCCCTCCCCACTTCCTTCCTTCCCTTGTTGCGCACCTCCTATGCTACTACCGACTTCCCGACGGCCCTTCTCCGTCCTTGGGGAAGGAGTCACCCCTGCTGTTCTCTCACAGTCCTTTTGCCGCTTTCTGCTTAGCCAACCCATTTCTAGTCTGGCGGCCCCAACGACTCTAGGCAGCCTCTGGCTTCCTACTGTCTGTGCCCATGCTTCCGCTCTTTCCAGCATACCTGCCTCCGATTTTCTCTGTCGTGCACAAATTGGTCATATACAATCTCTCGAGTGACGGGAAGTCATTCGGGACTCACCAGTCCCGACAACGGCAAATGCGCACGAATGTTGCCGACTATTGCAGCGGACCGTACGCTTCCCCCTGGTTTTGCTTTATTAAACCAAATGGGACGTTGTGGTGGGTGCGGGATTTACAGCGGTTGAATGATGTGACGGTGCGGGATGCGGGAGGATTGCCAAAAGCGGACGCACTGTCAGAGTCATGCGCAAGAAGGCCTATAATTTCGCTTATAGACCTTTACTCTAGGTATGACCAGTTCACTGTATACCCGCCAGATAGGCCGGTGACGGCGATGCATACGCCCAGAGGGCTAATTCATATGAACGTAGCCCCTCAGGGCTGGACGAATGTCATGGCGATGGTGCAAAGGCATATGATTAGGGTTATGCAGACGGCGAGTCCACACATTACCCAACCCTATATTGACGACTTGGCGGTCAAAGGCCCGAAAGAAAGGGAAGAAGATGAAGTGATGCCCGGCGTAAGGCGGTTCGTTTGGAAGCATGTCCAAGACCTTGATCAGGTCTTGAGTTTATTGGAGGAGTACAACCTTACGGCGAGTGGCCCAAAGTCCAAGCACTGCATGAGGGAGGCGACCATCCTCGGCTTTGTCTGCAATGAGAACAGTCGGAGGCCTGATGTGAAGAAAACAGACAAAATCGTGGAGTGGCCAGTACCCTTCCGCTCAATAACGAACGTAAGGAGCTTCCTCGGCACGTGCGGATTTTGAAGAAGTTTCGTGAAGAACTTTGCCGCCAAGACGAAGCACCTAAGGAAGTTAGTACGTCAGGACCAGGAGTGGGTTTGGGGTGGAGACCAGGAAGAGGCTGTGGAGCGAATGAAGGTGGAGTTTAAAGAAGGAGGTCTGGTGTTGGGGGCGCCGAACTATGAGGTCACTGAGGAGAAGCCGTTCATTATTGGGACGGACGCTGGACCTACTGCCTTGGGAGGGGTTTTGGTTCAGGCAGATGCCGAAGGGAAGGAGAGGCCGCTGAGGTTCAAGAGTCAGACTCTCAATACGACTGAGAGGAACTACTCTAAGTTTAAGAAGGAGACGCTGGCGGTGCTCCATTGCCTGAGAATCTTTCGGAACTACGTCTTTGGCAGGAGGTTCATATTAAAGGTGGACCCTACTGCGCTTGTCAATTCCTTGAAGAACTATAACCCATCTGACCCAACCGTTGCGAGGTGGCTGACGTATATTTGGATGTTCAACTTCGAGCTGGAGAGGATTCCAGCAGATGGGTTGAGCCGCATCAACTGGGATGGGTCGGATCAAGAGTCAATAGAAGACACCCCACCGGTTTATGGGTTCTTGGATCAAGAGGAAGACGTCCGCCTCCATATAAATGAATGGTCCTTGCGGGTGTCTAGTTTTGTTAGCCACCCCATATGGCTAGCGCCTAAAGGGTACGAGCAAAAGGAGGAGCTGGTCCTTAAGCCATTTCAGGAGGAGGATCCATGGGGAAACAAGGATGTTGGTTGGATGATGAAGTTGGCATTGGCAGATGCACACAGTCTAGTGGAGGAAGTGAGGACAATAGAGGAAAACCCAACTCAGGTGGAAGAACATGATCAATTAATGAGAGGAATGTATCTGCTCACTAACACGCTTCTGCAAGGGGATTTCGATCGGAAGAACTTCTTTAGTCTTATGGAAAATAAGGACGTCATTCCTGAAAGCCGGGATGATGAGTTCGAGGAAGGGGAAATCAAGGAAGCCTTTCGTGCAGAAGAGTATGATGAGATCTACCTGGAGCTAGGGCTACTCCTGTCCTGCGAGATGAGGGATAGAGATGCGAGTGTCAAGGCGTAGAAGATGAGGCACCTCTCTGTAGTAAGAGATGACCATCTGTTTATAAAGCGGCAGGTCGGGAATCCCAAAAGGATTGTGTGTGGGAGGAACCGGCAGATCGACATAATAGCAGCCTTACACGATGGTATAGCAGGGGGCATAGGGGGATAGGTGTCACGTGTGCAAAGATAAGTGAACTATACCATTGGGATGGGATACTAACTATGGTCATCAAGTACTGCCAGTCTTGTATACCTTGTCATGAGAGGTCAGCGCAAAGGCCAGGGGAGCCTCTACACCCGAGGCTGGAGAGGGAAGTGGGTGCGGTTGTACATCTGGACCTGCTCTTCATGCCAGCTGGGGAGAATGGATGTAACTACATCTTTAATGCGCGGGATAACCTTACTGGGTTTGTGGACGGTCGGGCCATTCGCACGAAGACCGGCCCAGTTTTCGCAAGCTGCATCGAAGAGTACCTGCATTATCCTTTCGTCAAAGAATTCGTGATGGATCGAGGGTCGAAGTTCACCTGCAATGACTATACTACTGCCGCGCACCCTCAGGCGAACGCACCGGTGGAAAGAGGGCACAGTACCATCACGAATCTCTTGGCCAAATGGACGGAGGGCAAGCCTGGTCAGTGGCTGAAGTTCTTGCGGGCAGCTTTCTTCGTAGAAAACGTCACGGTGAAGAGAGCTACCAAGTATACGCCAGCCACGCTATGGTATGGGAGGCATGCCACCTTCCCTATAGAAAGTTTTATGAAAACTTGGAGGCGCCAAAACTTGGAAGTTAATCTGTCTTTCGAAGAACTGCTCGATATCCGGGCGTGGCAAGTGGGAGCCGCCGAAGAGAGGTTGCGCGAGGCCGCCGGTCAGGTAGAAAGGAGTCGAATGGAAGATAAGATGCGATGGGACCAGATGGCACGAGTGAGGAAGGAGCCGTTGGCAGTAGGGGATGTCGTATTACTGTATGGCTCCTCGGAAAAACAATGGTCGAGAAAACTCGACAAAAGGAGGATGGGGCCCTATAGGATCTTGCGGTGCGACGAATTTGGAGCCTACTAGATCGAGGAGTTGGACGGGACAGTATGGCAGGATTGGGTGTCTGGGACTAGATTGAAGAAGTTTGTGGCCAGGGAATAGGTAAAGAATCCCATACCCCTCCAAGTAAACCCTTGTTTTAAGGGGTCGTATGTCTTGGTTGAGCTAGGCAGAAAATGGAAAGGAGTGAGAGTATATGTATTGCCGAAGACTTGATGGACTGAGGACTGACCTTGTTGTGTGCTTGTCTGCTTTCTCTCGCCTGATGTGCAGGTCTGACTTTTCGGAGACAACCATGCAGAGGGGCGGAAGGGACGCACGGCCATGACAGAGGCCCCTGGGAGCGTCTAGAGGGGGTGGTCAGCGTGGGCCAGTTGGGAGGGAGTCCACACTTGTCTTTGACGACGATAACATAGAGCTTTTTTTGGATGCCTACCAGGCTCATGCGGCACGAGAGGGTTGGTCTACCCTGGAGAGGATACGGCATCTTAGGGGAGTTGGGCGTTTTGAGGAGCCGATTGCGCACATCCGGGAGGAGGCTTTGACCTAGCAGGATGTGGAGGCGAGGATGCAGAGGTTGAGGCCTTCGCCGTTGGGACGTGATGGGTTGCCCATTCAACTGGAGGAAGGCAATGCGGAGGAGTTCATCTCAGCCTACGAACAGTATATGCGCGATCAGGGGACTGGGCAGGAGGAGTGGATGCAGACGTTGCCCCTTTGGACGCGAAGGGCGGAGAGGCCGTTAGCGCGGCAGATTCGGGACGGGGCGCATGACTGGGAGGACTGCCAGGCTCAGCTCAGACGGGCGTTCCGACGGCCAGAGCCAGAGAGACCAGAGCCCAGGGTGGAGAGACGACAGAGGAGTAAGAGGCCACGAGACCCGGAGGCGAGAGGGGCCATAGCGACCAGGGAAGGCCGAAAGACGTTGGCACGGCGAGAGGAGCTAGTGGAGCCAGTTCAGACGGACAAGCCAACTCAGACGGAGGAGCCAGTGCAGGCAGCGGGACCGGCTCAGGTAGCGGAGCTGCCTCCTACCCATGGGCTTGAGCAGGTGGAGTTTCGACGGATCACGAGCAGTGACCTACAGGGCCCGCCACCGACACGGCCAAAGGAGAGGGAGGCTGTACCATTAGAGACGCCACTCAATAGCCTGGAGACCCATCTCGATGCGTCCCAGTGGAGGACTTCGCAGCTGGGGGCAGACCCAGGTGAGCCCGCACGATATGAGCCGGCAGAAGAGCCGCCTAAGCCGGAGCCGGAGGTTGGGCCGCGTGGGCCAGAGGAGCCACGGACTGAGGGAGTTATTACGGTTGGGGACGATACCCCTCCTCCCACCCCAATCCCTCAGCAGGTACGGGAGTACTGGCCCGAGGGAATTCCTGAGCCGGATAGCGAGGAAGTTTCAATACCGCCATCGGAAGCTACTACGCCGCCTCAGAAGCAGGCAGAGCCAGAGGAGAGAGAGGAGGGGCACATACGACTGTGGTGCCATAGCTATTTGAGCATGCGGCCGAGCACTTGGACGCGGAGGTGCCAGCACCCGAGGGGCCACCGCCAGAGTTGCCACCTGCAGGAGGAGTGAGAGCGGGAGTTCCATTACGAGAGGCCCACGAGACGCGAGCGGAGAGGCCGTTAAGGGAGACAGCTGAGGAGAAGTTCGCGAGAGTGCAGGTGCGCCTCGAGGAGATATATTAGGAAAACGTTAGGATGGAGGCTGCAGGGGAAGTGATGAAGCCACCAATCGACCCCCCGACGAGGGAGCAGAGGATTGGTGAGGCATGGGCCAGTTACGAGGGTAAGAGGGATGCTGCCCGTGTGAGGTCGCGAGAGGCAGGGCAGGAGGACGAGAGGGTGGATGAGGCACGAGAGACTGGGGACTTGGGATTTTCAGCTGCCAGGATGGCAATCGAGCGTACAGACAGGGAGATACGCCAGGTGGCGACCACGTCCTTCCAGCGATTTACCATGCTTAGCGACGAGTTGGCGACCTCGAGGATGGAGGTGGAGCAACTGTCTGTTCAGCTAGCAGAAGAAAGGGCAGAGAACCAGGCCTGGAGGTCTCGCATGGAAGCCAAGGAAGCTGAATGGGAGAGGAGGCTCCAGGATATGGTGGCAGCTGTGGAGAGGCTTTCGGCCACCAAGGTGGTCGATTGGACAGAGCAGAGTCGGTATGGTATCCAAGGAGAGGAGGTGCGGGGGCTCTTTAGCCAGGGAGGGACAGCAGAGCCACTTCAGCAAGAGGGGATGAAGAAGGTATTCCTGGATCCAGCGGAAGCGGAAGCAAGGCGGAAGGCCGAGGAGGAGAGTTTCAGCTTCAAGGCCCCCACAGAGCTAGCTTCGCAACAGGCCAACCCCATGGCAATTGAGATCCCTGCGGGCGAGTCAGTGCAGAGACCCCAATCCCCACTGGTGGGAAGGGGTCCTGCAGAGGAGTCCCCTATGATTCTTTTGGAGGTGCAAGGTGGTACCCTTACGGGGGCAGTGGCGTCCGCTGAGCCAAAGGCAATGGAGGAGGAGGCATCTTGTTTGGATGAGCTAGTGGCGGCCATGGGGCTGGACATGCCATCAGGGGGGCCTCAGAGACACGAGACCCCGGAGCACGTGCCAGAAAGGGGGGAGTTGAGGACACAGTTGGGCTCTTGGGCCACAGAGGCTGACTCCGGCGGACCCACCTCAGAGCAGCAGCATGAGGTTATGAGCGAGCCAGTGGCTACCGTGACTCCCCAGCCTTCAGAGCCGCATAGGGAAAGGAAGGCGACTACGATGGAGGGGGCCCGTGAGGGTAGGCCACAGAGATTGGACACCCCGACGTATCGGGCTGAGGGGGGTGAGATGCGAGCAGGGCCGAGTACCCAGACATTGGAGGCGAGACCAGAGGAGTCGTGGAGTATGCCCCAGAGTCATGAGATGAGCAGAGAGACCAGCGAGGCACCGTCGTCGCCAGGATCTCGGAAGAAGAAGAGAAAATACCAAAGGAGGTCAGATGATCAGTGTTTTTTCTGCAAGCATGGCATACACAGAGCCCTCGAGTGTCCGAAGTTCCTGAAAGACAAGGCAACTGGGAAAGTGACAAAGAGCGGTGGGAAGATGTATGATAGGCGAGGTCGAGTGGTAGAGCGAGCTCTGGATAGGGGTACGGCTCAACTATATAGCCATAACTAGGAGGACATGAGTGAGTAGGGGCTGGTCCATCTATATGTCAGTAGGACTAAGGTTCCTCTGCACGCAGAGGTCGGATTAGAGGTGTATATAGGTCGAGTGGATTTTTGGGGGCGTTCATGTGTGGGTCAGTCGAGAGTTCTATCCATTTGTACATATATAGATAGCGGTGCTTGATAGGATTTTGAGCTTTTTTGTGTGAGATGTGACCTAGGAGGTGAGATTCAGTTGTGTGATACCTGTGACTATTTGACTTGCGCTTTAGTTCTCGTGGTTCAAAAAAAATTTACTTGTATTCTTGAGCGGATTCTGAGAGTCCATAACACCTGGGACATGAGTTACTCAGCAGAGTGAGACAGTGAACTGAGTATCTGTGGTGTTTCGAGGCTGGAACTACGAGTTGTATGTTGAGAACTTGGGTTGAGTGTTTGTATTGGATTTTTTATGGAGATATTTCGCTCCTGAGTATATTTTGACGTCAGACCCTGTGTGACTTATTTTTGTGACGATCACGATCACTCTCGCACGTGTGGTTTTATCCCAATATATGATGGCTTTGTGTGAGGGATATGGGGGATACATCTCATATGTTTCGTATTGTGTGAATGTGGATACCGTCTACTCCTCGGTATACTTGTGCGACCTGCCTACGGGCGGATGAGAGGGCCGAGTATAAGGGGAGGCAGTGCGGTTATTTTGTGATAGGAGTGTGAGAATCCTAAGAGGTTTTGCGAGTCTCTGAGACTCGAATACTTGTCATGCCGGATGTTTTACGGTTGAGTTGAGAAGGGGACCCATAAGCAGGTCCCTCAGTTTGAGTTGTTACGTGGATGAGTTGTGGAGAGGGCCCATAAGTAGGCCTCTCAGTTTGAGTTGTTTTATTGGTTGAGACCCCTTCAGATTAAGGAAGGTGAAGTTTGAACGACAAAGTGAGAACCGGAACACTACTAAGAGCATGAACTTGACAAGATGAGAGTATGAGTAATGGAAGCACAAACACATGAGAAGTTGAACAGTCCAGTGAGAACACTACTAAAAGCATGAACTTGAAAGCATGAACTTGAAAGCATGAACTTGAAAGCATGAACTTGACAAGATGAAAGCACAAACACATAAGAAGTTGATCAACCAAGTGAGATCCGGAACACTACTAAAAGCACAAACTTGACAAGATGAAAGCACAAACACATGGAAAGTTGAACAGCCAAGCGAGAACCGCAACACTACCAAGAGAGCGAGCGAGCGAGAGAGAGAGAGAGAGAGAGAGAGAGAGAGAGAGAGAGAGAGAGAGAGAGAGAGAGAGAGAGAGANAGCCAACCCATTTCTAGTCTGGCGGCCCCAACGACTCTAGGCAGCCTCTGGCTTCCTACTGTCTGTGCCCATGCTTCCGCTCTTTCCAGCATACCTGCCTCCGATTTTCTCTGTCGTGCACAAATTGGTCATATACAATCTCTCGAGTGACGGGAAGTCATTCGGGACTCACCAGTCCCGACAACGGCAAATGCGCACGAATGTTGCCGACTATTGCAGCGGACCGTACGCTTCCCCCTGGTTTTGCTTTATTAAACCAAATGGGACGTTGTGGTGGGTGCGGGATTTACAGCGGTTGAATGATGTGACGGTGCGGGATGCGGGAGGATTGCCAAAAGCGGACGCACTGTCAGAGTCATGCGCAAGAAGGCCTATAATTTCGCTTATAGACCTTTACTCTAGGTATGACCAGTTCACTGTATACCCGCCAGATAGGCCGGTGACGGCGATGCATACGCCCAGAGGGCTAATTCATATGAACGTAGCCCCTCAGGGCTGGACGAATGTCATGGCGATGGTGCAAAGGCATATGATTAGGGTTATGCAGACGGCGAGTCCACACATTACCCAACCCTATATTGACGACTTGGCGGTCAAAGGCCCGAAAGAAAGGGAAGAAGATGAAGTGATGCCCGGCGTAAGGCGGTTCGTTTGGAAGCATGTCCAAGACCTTGATCAGGTCTTGAGTTTATTGGAGGAGTACAACCTTACGGCGAGTGGCCCAAAGTCCAAGCACTGCATGAGGGAGGCGACCATCCTCGGCTTTGTCTGCAATGAGAACAGTCGGAGGCCTGATGTGAAGAAAACAGACAAAATCGTGGAGTGGCCAGTACCCTTCCGCTCAATAACGAACGTAAGGAGCTTCCTCGGCACGTGCGGATTTTGAAGAAGTTTCGTGAAGAACTTTGCCGCCAAGACGAAGCACCTAAGGAAGTTAGTACGTCAGGACCAGGAGTGGGTTTGGGGTGGAGACCAGGAAGAGGCTGTGGAGCGAATGAAGGTGGAGTTTAAAGAAGGAGGTCTGGTGTTGGGGGCGCCGAACTATGAGGTCACTGAGGAGAAGCCGTTCATTATTGGGACGGACGCTGGACCTACTGCCTTGGGAGGGGTTTTGGTTCAGGCAGATGCCGAAGGGAAGGAGAGGCCGCTGAGGTTCAAGAGTCAGACTCTCAATACGACTGAGAGGAACTACTCTAAGTTTAAGAAGGAGACGCTGGCGGTGCTCCATTGCCTGAGAATCTTTCGGAACTACGTCTTTGGCAGGAGGTTCATATTAAAGGTGGACCCTACTGCGCTTGTCAATTCCTTGAAGAACTATAACCCATCTGACCCAACCGTTGCGAGGTGGCTGACGTATATTTGGATGTTCAACTTCGAGCTGGAGAGGATTCCAGCAGATGGGTTGAGCCGCATCAACTGGGATGGGTCGGATCAAGAGTCAATAGAAGACACCCCACCGGTTTATGGGTTCTTGGATCAAGAGGAAGACGTCCGCCTCCATATAAATGAATGGTCCTTGCGGGTGTCTAGTTTTGTTAGCCACCCCATATGGCTAGCGCCTAAAGGGTACGAGCAAAAGGAGGAGCTGGTCCTTAAGCCATTTCAGGAGGAGGATCCATGGGGAAACAAGGATGTTGGTTGGATGATGAAGTTGGCATTGGCAGATGCACACAGTCTAGTGGAGGAAGTGAGGACAATAGAGGAAAACCCAACTCAGGTGGAAGAACATGATCAATTAATGAGAGGAATGTATCTGCTCACTAACACGCTTCTGCAAGGGGATTTCGATCGGAAGAACTTCTTTAGTCTTATGGAAAATAAGGACGTCATTCCTGAAAGCCGGGATGATGAGTTCGAGGAAGGGGAAATCAAGGAAGCCTTTCGTGCAGAAGAGTATGATGAGATCTACCTGGAGCTAGGGCTACTCCTGTCCTGCGAGATGAGGGATAGAGATGCGAGTGTCAAGGCGTAGAAGATGAGGCACCTCTCTGTAGTAAGAGATGACCATCTGTTTATAAAGCGGCAGGTCGGGAATCCCAAAAGGATTGTGTGTGGGAGGAACCGGCAGATCGACATAATAGCAGCCTTACACGATGGTATAGCAGGGGGCATAGGGGGATAGGTGTCACGTGTGCAAAGATAAGTGAACTATACCATTGGGATGGGATACTAACTATGGTCATCAAGTACTGCCAGTCTTGTATACCTTGTCATGAGAGGTCAGCGCAAAGGCCAGGGGAGCCTCTACACCCGAGGCTGGAGAGGGAAGTGGGTGCGGTTGTACATCTGGACCTGCTCTTCATGCCAGCTGGGGAGAATGGATGTAACTACATCTTTAATGCGCGGGATAACCTTACTGGGTTTGTGGACGGTCGGGCCATTCGCACGAAGACCGGCCCAGTTTTCGCAAGCTGCATCGAAGAGTACCTGCATTATCCTTTCGTCAAAGAATTCGTGATGGATCGAGGGTCGAAGTTCACCTGCAATGACTATACTACTGCCGCGCACCCTCAGGCGAACGCACCGGTGGAAAGAGGGCACAGTACCATCACGAATCTCTTGGCCAAATGGACGGAGGGCAAGCCTGGTCAGTGGCTGAAGTTCTTGCGGGCAGCTTTCTTCGTAGAAAACGTCACGGTGAAGAGAGCTACCAAGTATACGCCAGCCACGCTATGGTATGGGAGGCATGCCACCTTCCCTATAGAAAGTTTTATGAAAACTTGGAGGCGCCAAAACTTGGAAGTTAATCTGTCTTTCGAAGAACTGCTCGATATCCGGGCGTGGCAAGTGGGAGCCGCCGAAGAGAGGTTGCGCGAGGCCGCCGGTCAGGTAGAAAGGAGTCGAATGGAAGATAAGATGCGATGGGACCAGATGGCACGAGTGAGGAAGGAGCCGTTGGCAGTAGGGGATGTCGTATTACTGTATGGCTCCTCGGAAAAACAATGGTCGAGAAAACTCGACAAAAGGAGGATGGGGCCCTATAGGATCTTGCGGTGCGACGAATTTGGAGCCTACTAGATCGAGGAGTTGGACGGGACAGTATGGCAGGATTGGGTGTCTGGGACTAGATTGAAGAAGTTTGTGGCCAGGGAATAGGTAAAGAATCCCATACCCCTCCAAGTAAACCCTTGTTTTAAGGGGTCGTATGTCTTGGTTGAGCTAGGCAGAAAATGGAAAGGAGTGAGAGTATATGTATTGCCGAAGACTTGATGGACTGAGGACTGACCTTGTTGTGTGCTTGTCTGCTTTCTCTCGCCTGATGTGCAGGTCTGACTTTTCGGAGACAACCATGCAGAGGGGCGGAAGGGACGCACGGCCATGACAGAGGCCCCTGGGAGCGTCTAGAGGGGGTGGTCAGCGTGGGCCAGTTGGGAGGGAGTCCACACTTGTCTTTGACGACGATAACATAGAGCTTTTTTTGGATGCCTACCAGGCTCATGCGGCACGAGAGGGTTGGTCTACCCTGGAGAGGATACGGCATCTTAGGGGAGTTGGGCGTTTTGAGGAGCCGATTGCGCACATCCGGGAGGAGGCTTTGACCTAGCAGGATGTGGAGGCGAGGATGCAGAGGTTGAGGCCTTCGCCGTTGGGACGTGATGGGTTGCCCATTCAACTGGAGGAAGGCAATGCGGAGGAGTTCATCTCAGCCTACGAACAGTATATGCGCGATCAGGGGACTGGGCAGGAGGAGTGGATGCAGACGTTGCCCCTTTGGACGCGAAGGGCGGAGAGGCCGTTAGCGCGGCAGATTCGGGACGGGGCGCATGACTGGGAGGACTGCCAGGCTCAGCTCAGACGGGCGTTCCGACGGCCAGAGCCAGAGAGACCAGAGCCCAGGGTGGAGAGACGACAGAGGAGTAAGAGGCCACGAGACCCGGAGGCGAGAGGGGCCATAGCGACCAGGGAAGGCCGAAAGACGTTGGCACGGCGAGAGGAGCTAGTGGAGCCAGTTCAGACGGACAAGCCAACTCAGACGGAGGAGCCAGTGCAGGCAGCGGGACCGGCTCAGGTAGCGGAGCTGCCTCCTACCCATGGGCTTGAGCAGGTGGAGTTTCGACGGATCACGAGCAGTGACCTACAGGGCCCGCCACCGACACGGCCAAAGGAGAGGGAGGCTGTACCATTAGAGACGCCACTCAATAGCCTGGAGACCCATCTCGATGCGTCCCAGTGGAGGACTTCGCAGCTGGGGGCAGACCCAGGTGAGCCCGCACGATATGAGCCGGCAGAAGAGCCGCCTAAGCCGGAGCCGGAGGTTGGGCCGCGTGGGCCAGAGGAGCCACGGACTGAGGGAGTTATTACGGTTGGGGACGATACCCCTCCTCCCACCCCAATCCCTCAGCAGGTACGGGAGTACTGGCCCGAGGGAATTCCTGAGCCGGATAGCGAGGAAGTTTCAATACCGCCATCGGAAGCTACTACGCCGCCTCAGAAGCAGGCAGAGCCAGAGGAGAGAGAGGAGGGGCACATACGACTGTGGTGCCATAGCTATTTGAGCATGCGGCCGAGCACTTGGACGCGGAGGTGCCAGCACCCGAGGGGCCACCGCCAGAGTTGCCACCTGCAGGAGGAGTGAGAGCGGGAGTTCCATTACGAGAGGCCCACGAGACGCGAGCGGAGAGGCCGTTAAGGGAGACAGCTGAGGAGAAGTTCGCGAGAGTGCAGGTGCGCCTCGAGGAGATATATTAGGAAAACGTTAGGATGGAGGCTGCAGGGGAAGTGATGAAGCCACCAATCGACCCCCCGACGAGGGAGCAGAGGATTGGTGAGGCATGGGCCAGTTACGAGGGTAAGAGGGATGCTGCCCGTGTGAGGTCGCGAGAGGCAGGGCAGGAGGACGAGAGGGTGGATGAGGCACGAGAGACTGGGGACTTGGGATTTTCAGCTGCCAGGATGGCAATCGAGCGTACAGACAGGGAGATACGCCAGGTGGCGACCACGTCCTTCCAGCGATTTACCATGCTTAGCGACGAGTTGGCGACCTCGAGGATGGAGGTGGAGCAACTGTCTGTTCAGCTAGCAGAAGAAAGGGCAGAGAACCAGGCCTGGAGGTCTCGCATGGAAGCCAAGGAAGCTGAATGGGAGAGGAGGCTCCAGGATATGGTGGCAGCTGTGGAGAGGCTTTCGGCCACCAAGGTGGTCGATTGGACAGAGCAGAGTCGGTATGGTATCCAAGGAGAGGAGGTGCGGGGGCTCTTTAGCCAGGGAGGGACAGCAGAGCCACTTCAGCAAGAGGGGATGAAGAAGGTATTCCTGGATCCAGCGGAAGCGGAAGCAAGGCGGAAGGCCGAGGAGGAGAGTTTCAGCTTCAAGGCCCCCACAGAGCTAGCTTCGCAACAGGCCAACCCCATGGCAATTGAGATCCCTGCGGGCGAGTCAGTGCAGAGACCCCAATCCCCACTGGTGGGAAGGGGTCCTGCAGAGGAGTCCCCTATGATTCTTTTGGAGGTGCAAGGTGGTACCCTTACGGGGGCAGTGGCGTCCGCTGAGCCAAAGGCAATGGAGGAGGAGGCATCTTGTTTGGATGAGCTAGTGGCGGCCATGGGGCTGGACATGCCATCAGGGGGGCCTCAGAGACACGAGACCCCGGAGCACGTGCCAGAAAGGGGGGAGTTGAGGACACAGTTGGGCTCTTGGGCCACAGAGGCTGACTCCGGCGGACCCACCTCAGAGCAGCAGCATGAGGTTATGAGCGAGCCAGTGGCTACCGTGACTCCCCAGCCTTCAGAGCCGCATAGGGAAAGGAAGGCGACTACGATGGAGGGGGCCCGTGAGGGTAGGCCACAGAGATTGGACACCCCGACGTATCGGGCTGAGGGGGGTGAGATGCGAGCAGGGCCGAGTACCCAGACATTGGAGGCGAGACCAGAGGAGTCGTGGAGTATGCCCCAGAGTCATGAGATGAGCAGAGAGACCAGCGAGGCACCGTCGTCGCCAGGATCTCGGAAGAAGAAGAGAAAATACCAAAGGAGGTCAGATGATCAGTGTTTTTTCTGCAAGCATGGCATACACAGAGCCCTCGAGTGTCCGAAGTTCCTGAAAGACAAGGCAACTGGGAAAGTGACAAAGAGCGGTGGGAAGATGTATGATAGGCGAGGTCGAGTGGTAGAGCGAGCTCTGGATAGGGGTACGGCTCAACTATATAGCCATAACTAGGAGGACATGAGTGAGTAGGGGCTGGTCCATCTATATGTCAGTAGGACTAAGGTTCCTCTGCACGCAGAGGTCGGATTAGAGGTGTATATAGGTCGAGTGGATTTTTGGGGGCGTTCATGTGTGGGTCAGTCGAGAGTTCTATCCATTTGTACATATATAGATAGCGGTGCTTGATAGGATTTTGAGCTTTTTTGTGTGAGATGTGACCTAGGAGGTGAGATTCAGTTGTGTGATACCTGTGACTATTTGACTTGCGCTTTAGTTCTCGTGGTTCAAAAAAAATTTACTTGTATTCTTGAGCGGATTCTGAGAGTCCATAACACCTGGGACATGAGTTACTCAGCAGAGTGAGACAGTGAACTGAGTATCTGTGGTGTTTCGAGGCTGGAACTACGAGTTGTATGTTGAGAACTTGGGTTGAGTGTTTGTATTGGATTTTTTATGGAGATATTTCGCTCCTGAGTATATTTTGACGTCAGACCCTGTGTGACTTATTTTTGTGACGATCACGATCACTCTCGCACGTGTGGTTTTATCCCAATATATGATGGCTTTGTGTGAGGGATATGGGGGATACATCTCATATGTTTCGTATTGTGTGAATGTGGATACCGTCTACTCCTCGGTATACTTGTGCGACCTGCCTACGGGCGGATGAGAGGGCCGAGTATAAGGGGAGGCAGTGCGGTTATTTTGTGATAGGAGTGTGAGAATCCTAAGAGGTTTTGCGAGTCTCTGAGACTCGAATACTTGTCATGCCGGATGTTTTACGGTTGAGTTGAGAAGGGGACCCATAAGCAGGTCCCTCAGTTTGAGTTGTTACGTGGATGAGTTGTGGAGAGGGCCCATAAGTAGGCCTCTCAGTTTGAGTTGTTTTATTGGTTGAGACCCCTTCAGATTAAGGAAGGTGAAGTTTGAACGACAAAGTGAGAACCGGAACACTACTAAGAGCATGAACTTGACAAGATGAGAGTATGAGTAATGGAAGCACAAACACATGAGAAGTTGAACAGTCCAGTGAGAACACTACTAAAAGCATGAACTTGAAAGCATGAACTTGAAAGCATGAACTTGAAAGCATGAACTTGACAAGATGAAAGCACAAACACATAAGAAGTTGATCAACCAAGTGAGATCCGGAACACTACTAAGAGCACAAACTTGACAAGATGAAAGCACAAGCACATGAGAAGTTGAACAGCCAAGTGAGAACCGAAACACTACAAAGAGCACGAACTTCACAAGATGAAAGCACAAGCACATGAAAAGTTGAACAGCCAAGTGAGAACCGGAATACTACCAAGAACATGAACTTGACAAGATGAGAGTATGAGTAGTGAAAGAACAAGCACGTGAGTAGTTTGAAAGGCCAAGTGAGAACCGGAACACTACTAAGAGCATGAACTTGATAAGAGGACAGCACAAGCACATGAGAAGTTGACCAGCCAAGTGAAAACCGGAACACTACTAAGAGCACAAACTTGACAAGATGAAAGAAAAAACACATGGGAAGTTGAACAGCCAAGCGAGAACTGGAACATTACCAAGAATATGAGCTTGACAAAATGAGAGTATGAGCAGTGGAAGTATAAGCACATGAGAAGTTGAACAGCCAAGTGAGAACCGGATTACTACTAAGTGCATGAACTTGACAGATGAAAGCACAAACACATAAGGAGTTTGAACAGCCAAGTGAGAACTGGAACACTACCAAGCGCATGAACTTGACAAGATGAGAGTGTGAGTAGTAAAAGCACTAACACATGAGAAGTTGAACAGCCAAGTGAGAGCCGGAACACTACCAAGAGCACGAAACGTTGTCTCTTTCCTGACCGAACGCGTCTAGTTCCTAATCCTACTCGCACCTCACGTTCACGAAACCCGTTCAACTGTGTCTCGTAGACATGGTTTGGGGTTGACCAAGGGTTGATCCTTCCCAATGACCCCCTTTCACGACAGGCGGTGGGCCCCATCTTGAGTTCGTCAATTTGGGTGTCTCCAACCACGCGGTTGGATAAATAAAATAAGTCGTGTCCATCTCACTGTGGACTACTGCAGCGTCTCCTTCGCTATCGCGCCTCAAAATGAGAATATGAGTAGTGAAAGCACAAGCACATGAGAAGTTAAACAGCTAAGTGAGAACCGTTACACTACCAAGAACATAAACTTGACAAGATGAGAGTACGAGTTGTGAAGGCACAAGTCCATGAGAAGTTGAACAGCCAAGTGAGAACCGGAACACTACCAAGTGTATGAACTTGACAAGATAAGAGTGAAAGCACAAACACATGAGAGGTTGAACAGGCAAGTGTGAACCGGAACACTACCAAGTGCATGAACTTGACAAGAGGAGAGCGTGAGTAGTAAAAGCCCAAGCACATGAGAAGTTGAACAACCAAGTGAGAACCGGAACCCTACTAGGAGCACAAACTTGACTAGATGAAAGCACAAACACATGAGAAGTTGAATAGCCAAGTGAGAACCGGAACACTACTGAGAGCATGAACTTGATAAGATGAAAGCACAAGCACATGATAAATTGAACAACCAAGTGAGAACCGGAGTACTACCAAGAGTATGAACTTGAGAAAATGATAATATAAGTAGTGAAAGCACCAGCACGTGAGAAGTTTGAACGACCAAGTCAGAATCGGAACACTACCTAATGAAAGATAAGCCATACATTTGAGCGAGACGTGCTCAAACACATGCATGAGGGTCATGGATGCAACCAAGAATAAAACGGAATGTCATCATGTGAGAGATGAGTAATGCATGTGAGTGAGACTTGCTCAAACAGATGCTTGATGCTCATGACTACAACCAAGAATGCAATGGAATATTATCATGTGAATGTTGAGTTATGCATGTGAGTGAGAGTTACTCAAACACATGCTTGAAGCTCATGACTACAACCAAGCATGAAACAAAATGTCATCGTGTGGGAAAACTGAGCAAAGTAGGTGAAAGGAACCATAAAAAACACTAGCGCAAACATGGACAAAAGTAGTGATTTAAGTGAAGAAGAGGAGAGAAAGTGAAAAAAGAATAAGTCTAACTCACTCAAATGCATGAAATCACAAAGGGAGAAGTGACGATTCACATACAAGTGACGAAAAGGACAACCCAAAAGATAATCATCACCAAAACACCAGATTGATCAAAGACAAGAATTGTGATTTGCTCCTAAGTGAAGAAGAGGAGAGAAAGTGAGAAAAGAGTGAGTCTAACTAACCCAAATGCATGAAATTTTGAGGGGAGGAGTGGCGGTTCATATGGAAGTGAAGAAAATGACAAAACAAGAATTAATCATCATCTATATACTAAAATAAGCAAGGACAAAAGTTGCGATTTGCACCTAAGTAAAGAAGTGGAGAGAAAGTGAGAAAAGAGTGAGTAGAACTCACTCAAATGCATGAAATCACAAGGGGGAAACAGCGCTTCACATGGGAGTGGAGAAATTGACAAAACAAGTATTAATCATCATTTAAACACTAGAATAAGCAAGGACAAAAGTTGTGATTTGCACCTAAATGAAGAAGTGGAGAGAAAGTGAGAGAAACGTTAGTAGAACCGACTCAAATGTATGAAATCACAAGGGAAGAAGTAACGCTTCACATGGGAGTGAAGAAATGAACAAAACAAGAGTTACTTATCATCTAAACACTAGAATAAGCAAGGACAAAAGTTGCGATTTACACCTAAGTGAAGAAGTGGAGAGAAAGTGAGAGAAAAGTGAGTAGAGCTTACTCAAACGCATGAAATCACAAGGGGAGAAGCAGCGCCTTACATGGGAGTGAAGAAATGGTCAAAACAAGAGCTAATCATCATCTAAACACTAGAATAAGCAAGGACAAAAGTTGCCATTTGCACCTAAGTGAAGAAGTGGAAAGAAAGTGAGAGAAAAGTGAGTAGAACCCACTCAAATGCATAAAATCACAAGGGGAGAAGTAGCGCTTTACATGGGAGTGAAGAAATGGTCAAAACAAGAGCTAATCATCATCTATACACTAGAATAAGCAAGGACCAAAGTTGCCATTTGCACCTAAGTGAAGAAGTGGAGAGAAAGTGAGAGAAAAATTAGTAGAACTCACTCAAATGCATGAAATCACAAGGGGAGAAGTGACGTTTCACATGGGAGTGAAGAAATGGACAAAACAAGAGCTAATCATCATCTAAACACTAGAATAAGCAGCGACAAAAGTTGTGATTTGCACCTAAGTGAAGAAGTGGAGAGAAAGGGAGAAAAGAGTAGAAAGAAAGTGAGAAAAGAGTGAGTGTAGCTCACTCAAATGCATGAAAACTCAAGGGGAGGAGTGACTGTTCACATGGTAGTGAAGAATGAGCCCATGGAGAGATACTAGTGAGAAGGCTTCCTACGATGTACTCTAAGTTTAGGAAAGTTCCCATGGAGAGAGGGAGAGAAGAAGAGAGTGGGGAGGGGGAAGAGAGAAAGATGAAGAAGAAGAAGGAGAAGAAGATGAAGGAAAAGGGGGGGGGGGGAAGATAAGGAAGGAAGAAGAAGAAGAAGAAGAAGAAGAAGAAGAAGAAGAAGAAAAAGAAGAAAAAGAAAAAGAAGAGAAAGAAAAAGAAGAAAAAAAAAAAGAAGAGGAAGAAGAAGAAAAAGAAAAAGAAGAATCTTCTCCTTTCCACTCACATGCTTGATGTCTTGGGATGGAGCACCAACCTTGATGAAGTCTCTCCCTTCCTTGCCCAAGAATCACCTTGGCTATGACTCTCTTCTTTCCCAAACCCTTCTCTTCCTCCTCTCTCAATCTCTCCCAGGCTATGGCAAGCTCCCTCCACTATGGTTGTGGAGTCCTTCCCTCTAGGAGGGCTAATGAGACTCTCTCTAGCCTCTCTCTCTTCCTCACAGCCTGAGGGCTATGGCGGATCACCTCCCTAGGCCAGCCTCACTACCACTTACCTCCAGGGCTCCTTCCTTAAGCTCACAGTCTCCTCCAAACTCCCAAACTGACATGGGTTCCCCTCTCCTCTCCCCAAGTGAGAAAGGTGCTCCTACGAGCTCACTTGGGCAGCATGGGCACTCCTCATGCAAATGTGAGTGTGGCGGACTGAATCCATAGCTTATGTA